CAAGATGTTGCTCTGCTTTTATATTTGAGATATATATATAATATTTTTTTTTTTTTTTTTTAACTCTACCCGTGATAGAATTGCTGTTTAGTGATTAATGTTTAAATGTTTACTTGTGCACATTGTGAGTGCACAAGTGAGTTTTTACACTTTACATCCAAACTGAAATGATTTAGTCGGGCGAGATGAGAGGCGGGACTCCGCAGCGACTCTGGATAGAGAAGACGTAATATTTCCAGTGTGAGTTAAAGGACGTGTTGGTGGATCTTTTCAGAGGCTCTCAAATATAAAAGCAGAGCAACATCTTGTGAGCTAATATAAAAATCTAAAGTTTTGTACTACAGGTAAAATAAAAACATTACCATTACTGCATCAATTTATGATTTGATAAATAAAGGCAATATTGATAAATAAACAAAGCAAGCCTTCGCCTCATTCAAGATGACTTTGATTTAGTTTAATCCCTCACTCTTTTCCTTTTTCACAAACACACACACACACACACACACACACACAACCAGGAATGTTAAGTTACGTGTGACCAGTTACAGTTGAACCATCTGCTCTGACCTTATTACTCTTATTGTCTTCTCTGCAGCAGTCTGCTGGCTCCTCACATAAATAATGTTATTAACATTTCAACATGAAGGTGAAACTCAGTGTTGCTGTTCCGTACTAATGAAATCCTTTATTTTAGTAATGTTGCAGATTACTGTAGTACAAATTACATAATATCATTTTATAGCTGACTGTTGTGAAATTTCTTATTTATTCCTTCAAAACAGGAACTGCTATTAATGTACCATTCCACTTTATTTATAAAGAACTTAAAAACAGCTGCAAGGCCAACCAACGTGCTGTACAACAAAACAGATGGTAAAAGACACAGGATAAAATACATAAATCCACAGAGGTAAAGATAATTAACTAAATGATTAAAACAATAAAACAGTGACATTAAAATCAACTCACCCTGGATCGAAAGCCAGGGCGTAAAAGTGTGTTTTCAAATGAGACTTAAAAACAGAGAGGGAGCCTGTCTGACATGTAGTGGCAACTCACTGCACATCGTCGGACCTGCAACAGAGAAGGCCCTGTCAAATCCCCAGTGATTAAAGCTTGGTCATATCTTGGTGTGAGCTCAGGCAAGAAATCAGAAAACTCACTTAAGAAGTTGTTGTGCTTATGAGAATGGTAAACCAGTGTGCACCAGCAGCACGGGAGAATGACCCAGTTCAAAAAGGCTCCATTCTGTTCTGTGGAATAGAAAAGTTCAGGGGTTCCATATACTGTATGCACAAATAACATACAAACGTGAATTTGTGCTCTACACACCCATGCACACATGATGCATGTCTATTCATCCGTCCATTATATATGCTTGTTCCTAAGTCAGGTCATGGGGGTAACTGGTTGAGCAGGGAGGCCCAGACATCTCTTTCCACAGCCACCTCTTCCAGATCTTCTGGGAGGACTCCATGGCGTTCCCAGGCCAACAGAGAGACATAGTCTCTCCAGCGTGTCCTGGGTATTCCCCCAGGGTCTCCTCCCAGTTGGACATGCCAGGAGCACCTCCCTAAGAAGGCACCCTGGGAGCACCCTTACCAGATGCCTGAACCACCTCAACTGGCTCCTTTCAATGTGGAAGAGCAGCGAGTCTCTCCCAGATAACTGAACTTCTTACCCTATCTCTAAGGGAGAGTCCAGCCACCCTGCAGAGGAAACTTATTTCAACCGCCTGTGTCTGTGATCTTGTTCTTACAGTCAACACCCGGAGTTTGTGGCCATAGGTGAGGGTAGGAACGTAACTGGGATGTAACTGGGACCCTGTGTACATAATCTCATTCCACCACATGTACCACATGAGATGCGAATGACAAATAAATCTCTGACTCTGAGACTGACTGGTAAACAGAGAGCTTTGTCTTACAGTTCAGCTCCCTTTTCACCACAACAGACCGGTACAGAGTCCACAATACTGCAGATGCTGTATTGTATTACGCTGTCAATCTCACGCTTTATTCTTCCCTCGCTCATGAACAAAACCCAGATACTTGAACTCTTCCACTTGATGCATGTCAGTATGTGTAAAAGTACACAAAATAAATGAAGACATGCATTTAACGGATGCAGGTGCAAATTTTAGTGTTGCTTAAATTCAAACGTAAGTATGTTGTCATAAATGCATACGCACACTGCCTGTCTAGAATTTCAATTGTTACAGCTTCATTGTGACACATCAGAGTCAGAGTCAGAGTTTCTTTATTGTCATTCGCACCTCATGTGGTACATGTGGTGGAGCGAAATTATGTACACAGGGTCCCAGTTACATCCAACAATAAAATGTATAAGAAAAACAGTAATAACATCTAAGATATGAACTAAGAAAAACATCAACTAAATATACACTAAGCACTCATAACATAAAACATTGAACATCAGCACAAACATGAACATGAGTCTGTGAGCAGATGTGCACGCATGAACACATCAACATTGAAACAGATCAGCAGCAACATGAAACAGATCAGCAGCAACATGATATGGTTTTTCACAGTGATTATTCTGGTTAGAGATTCATGAGTCTAACAGCCTCAGGGTAGAAGCTGTTCCTCAGTCTAGTGGTTCTACACTTAATGCTCCTTAACCTCCTTCCTGAGGGGAGTGGGGCAAAAAGTGTGTGTGCTGGGTGGGTGAGGTCCTTCATGATGCAGATACATAATAATGATAATGACATAACATAATGATAATGATACATAATAAACAATTTATTAATGCACATTTTATGCAATTATCACAGGTTTTTGTTAAAGGAGCCATCAGGAATGAAACTCTCACAAAGTGGAGATTCAGCTGTTGTCTCTTGTTACGCTGCTTCGACTGGACGTTTCTGTGCTGCTTGTTTGGCTGCAAGTTATATTCGTCTGGATGTTTGTGTGTGTTGATCTTCTCTTACATAATTCATGTTTGAAGCAGCCTTGTTTAACACACAAGTACACCCACACTCGCAATGCATCAATGACTCTGAGCAGACTTGGTGCAGCACCACCAAACGAAAAAAAAGACCAAAAGAGAGCGAGAAGGAGAAAATCACATATGCACACGTTCACATCACATCAAGAAATATTCCCCTGCCTCTTCAACAAACTGCCCACAGGCTTTGTGCTGTTTTCTACACAACTTTGTTGTGCGCAGAGCTGCTCTGTGTGCGTCTTCCTTTCATACCCTTGTAAAGCTCAAATATTTGTAATTCAAGTGATGAAAACCATTTAGAGAATAATCACCAGAGCGAATCCAATCGATGACTGCAACTATCAAACAGACGATGACAAAAATGGAGCAACTCTCATATGAAGGATCTCATTAGAATAATGGATGTTACACAACAAAAACAGCCTCGTTAGAACAACAAAAGTCTACTCGGTTCACATCAGGGCAATATTAAGTATGGTAAACCTCAATGTAACATTAAAGGGAAAGTTCAGATTTTTTTTAAAGTGTTGTTTTGCGACGATGTTATGAGCATTCAGTGTTTTATGTGTAGTAAATGCTCTCTGATTGACCTTTGGGGGTCTGTGTTGTCTTCAGGCTGCAGCAGCCAAAGAATGCCCCTCTTTGTCTGCACACAGACCAAGTCAGTTGTAATTAATATCTAAAGCATCACAGATCCAACAAAAAGCTTTAAAACGGCAACATGTTGCTTGCCTGTTACCTGTTATGTATTTAATTAAGAAAATAAAAGTAACATGAATAATCTTTCCTCTGAGGCTGCCACTACTGATTATTTTATGTTGATTATTCTATCAACTAATGTATCTATTTTTCTCAACTAATAGTTTTCCTCCAAAAATCAAAATCAGCAGTTTTATTTATTTATTTATGGTCACCTTTGGTATTTATACAAGATGGAATAGAATAAAACTGAAACGACTTGCAAATAATATACAAAATATAGGAATTAATGTGGCTTTGCCTCTCAGAAAGAGATGAGAAGCAAACACTGCAAATACACTGCCTGGCCAAAAAAAAAAAAAAAAAGCCGCCACCTGGATTTAACTAAGCAAATAGGTACGAGCCTCCTATAGGATAATTACTGCATGGGTGATTGTCTTTCAGCTGCAACAAGTTATTTAACCCAACTGGTGCAATGAGTTGCTTCTCATTTCTTAAACAACCATGTTGAAAGACGCATCACATGGTCATGGAAAAGATGCCAGTCTGTTTGAGAAGGGTCAAATCATTGGCATCAAGCAGAGAAAACATCTAAGGAGACTGCAGAAACTAGTAAAATTGGGTTAAGAACTGTCCAACGCACTATTAAAAACTGGAAGTATAGTGGGGACCCAGCGTCTTCGAGGAAGAAATGTGACCGTAAAAAAATCCTGAATGATGGTGATCGGCGATCACTTAAACTTTTGGTGAAATCAGATAGAAGAAAACAACAGTAGCACTCAGGGCTGTGTTTAATAGTGAAAGTAAGAATATTTCCACACACAATGTGAAGGGAACTCTAAGTTTATCGAAACAATGACGCATCAAACGCATGCTGTAATCAAAGCTAAAGGTGGTCCGACGCAATATTAGTGTGTGACTTTTTTTTTTTTTTTTGGTCAGGCAGTGTATTTGAAATATTTCTCATTGGTTGTTAAACTTATCCTGCACTTTTAATAACATAGACGAGGTTTGTTTGTATGTTCAGTAAATAAATTAGCTATATTTAAATGTTATTTATTTGGCTAATGATGCTATGTACACAAATGTGCTAAAACTGGCACAGTTTGCTACATAGGTAGTTTTCTAATCACCAGGATGTTTTTTGTTTGTCTTTTTCTACTACAGTGGACAAGAAAGAAGCAAGGAATCATATATACCGTGTGTATATATATATGTATATATATGTATATGTATATGTATAAAATATATAACTGAATGAAGCTGGTGAAGGAATCAGACCTCAATGGGGAAACAAATCTAGACATACCACTGGGACAATGGGCCCAGCTTCTGGTGTAAACATTTCCTGAAAAATGTAGCAGACAGAAGATCTTTCTAACTCCATGAAGCTCATTCAACATTTTTAATTTTTTTAAAGCTTACGATGGTTTTGATTTTTCTGACGGTTCATGCGCCGCTCTCATATTTCTGTGTTAAACCAAGAAAACCCTGCGGAGCATACAAACCACCTTTTTGTTGCTTCATAACTTGAACTAATCCCATACTTTAGAAGACCCCTTTGGCTTTTGAAAGCGTTTACAACTCGGCTCATTTAAAATGATCACAGCCACAGAATCGTTCTAAAAGCCGGCTTGAAGCGAGTCGACGCTCTGCTGCAGGCAGCACACACTAGTGGCGTGGAGGAAAAGTGTTTAAACTTTTAAAATATTACGATATTCTTATAAAAAACGACAAATGAAAAGCCATTGACAATAATGAAGTATAGTCCGTATGATTGATTAAGATGACTGTTTGTGGTGATCCTACATTCCTCACCTGCAATTAGTTTCATAGAGCCTGACTTAAATGACAACACCATGCATTACATCATCCATCCATCCATCCATCCATCCATCCATCCATCCATCCATCCATCCATCCATCCATTATCTTTACCTGCTTCTTCCTTTTCGAGTCACATATCAATATTTATTAGCAAAAACTAAACCACTTTGCCAAAGCAGTGGGTCAAAAGCTAAGAACTCTTGTATAATTCAGTAGTTTGTAAGAACACCTTTAACAGTGTCCATGCTAGTCGGTGCCTCACGTGCAATTTTTAACATTTCTGATTTGAAATCCATGCTAGGATTTTACATTACAAGAAAAATCTTTTTATGCATTTGCTAGCTGTATACAGTTGTTTTCTTGTTCTAATTGCTGTATGTCAGGAAGAAAACCTCATGATCTTGTAGCAGCTGCAGAGTTTCAGCAGGTTTTAGCAGCAACATTCTGTTTCTTCTTATGCAGGAAGCCTTAACCAGCAGAGTTGGGGTAAGAAGTATCCGTCCTGCAGCAGTGCCAAACAGTCTCCTGTGGACATTGGCGAGATGTTTACCCAGGTCAGGGCGGAGTTTCAGAACCTAAAGCTGGAGGGCTGGGACAGACCGACATCCATGAGCACCACCATCCAAAACAACGGCAAGACTGGCAAGTTAAAAAATGCATTTTTAAAACGTCTTTCTCTGTCCACGATTTTGACATTTTGTTGCTGCAAAGCAGGGAGTGCTAATTCCCCATATGTAGGAAGAACATGAACTTTTCTTGTGCAACAGTAAAACCATCCAGAAGTCAAAGATTATCGATGGAGAGAACAGTGAGGATTAAAAGAGAAATGAAGAGAAAGAGACTATGTGATGGGAAGAAGAGCAACCAGAGGGAAGGCAGCGCAGAGAGATCATGTAATGAAAGGGGATCGATGCTGAGAGGCAGGCATGAGGCTGAGCAAGAGGGAAATGTATGAAGAGGGGGAGGGAGGACGATGTGATGTCTGAACTGATAAACAGATGAAAGCTCTCTGAGCTACAGTATCGTTACCATCTCTTCTCTACTGCCTGGGAGAATAGTGTTTCTGTGTGTGCTGTAGCTGTTATTGAATTTAAAATGAGTGTTTTTCTTCTTTGCCTTTGTGAAATCAGAAATGAAACATTTAGAGCAGATAGCACACAGTTGGTAAGCTGTAGAAAACCTAATATTACATAAAGCTGTGAGATGCCCTCCACCAAATACATTATTACAACTTATCTAAATTTGATTTTCACATGTGCCTCCAAGAAATACAATCCAACGAAGAAGAGTTGACTGAAGAAAGTGTAGTTGTAGATTTATGTCAACTTGTTGAAAGGCTAGATGTGACTTTCTTTTGGGATAATAAAAAAGTAGCATCTTACAGCTCATGGTTTGGTTTGCAGGACTGAAAATTCACTCATTTGTTGTCCGCCGTCATGAAATACATTGAATACAATGAGAAAAACACATGAACAACACCATAAAATGTGAACATGTTAGTTTTACACACACATTTAGTAAAAGATTACAACAAAACTAGAAATGTTCTTGTAAATCTCTCTTAATCTCTAAAAGTTGTCTAATCTTAGATGGTTGTGACACAGAGAGGTCATCAGTGACATAATCATATGGAAATTAAGTCATATTTGTTACTTTCATAATTTTGGGTCAAACTGTTTATCCGCCTGTGACGAAACAAAATGTTTTCATTTTAGTTTGGTAAATGGTTTGTACTTATACAGCTCCTTTCTATCTTAAGACACTCAAAGCCCTCCACTGCGTCCACCAATCACGTCTTGTCAGGTGTGCATGTGGTAAGCCAATAACAGCCTAACGGACTGTTCGAGACACGCCAACAACAGACAGGAACAAGTTTGTGAATTGTGTTAGCTGCCTTAAAATTGGCAAAACCTAATTTAGCAGGATAATTCTGCTAAAAGGCGACGCGGTGGCACAGTTGGTAAAGCTGTTGTCTCTCAACGAGAAGGTCGCCGGTTCAAATCCAAGCCCAGGACCTTTCTGGGTGGAGTTTCCATGTTCTCTCTGTGGATGTGCGGGTTTTTTTCCGGGTATTCCGGTTACTGCGGTTTCCTGTCACGGACCAAAAACATGCATGTTAGGCTGATTGGTAACTCTAAATTTTCCCTAAGTGTGAGAGGGAGAATGAATGGTTGTTTGTCTCTTTTGTCTCGTTTGTCTCTATGTGTCCCTGTGATGGACTGGAGACCTGTCCAGGTGTCTCTGTGATAGACTGGAGACACCTGGACAGGTCTCCAGTCCATCACAGAGACACCTGGACAGGTCTCCAGTCCATCACAGAGACACCTGGACTGGAGACCTGTCCAGGGTGTCCCCTGCCTCTTGCACAGTGACAGCTGGACATTTGCACCAGTGACCCCCATGACTAGAAAAGGAAGATGTGGATAAAAGATGAATGACTGATGGATGGATATACCTGAGGATGCATATATCCAGTGACCCCACCTGGACAGCCAACACTTCCTGTCTGGTCAAGAAGGCCCACCAGCGTCTGTACTTCCTCAGGAAGATGCAGAGAGCTGGACTTGGGAGCTCTGTCCTGAGGAGCTTCTATTTCTGTGTGGTGGAGGAGAGCGTTCTCTGCACCTGCATCACCGTGTGGCACAGCAGCTGCGCTGCTGCTGAGAGGATGGCTCTGCTGAGGGTGGTTAAGGCTGCACAGAAGACTGTGGGGAGCAGCCTTCCCACCACCTCAGACCTATGTACTTCATGATGCAGGGGGAGGGTGCTCCGCATCATGAAAGACTCCACTCATCCTGCACACAGTCTATTCCAGCCCCTCCCCTCAAGCAGGCGGCTGAGGAGCATTCAGAGCAAGACCACCAGGCTCAGAAACAGTTTCTTCCCTGCAGCTGTCAGACTGCTGAACTTGAGCTGCACGTAATTCAGCTTCATCTTACATTTTTTTTAATTTATATATATATAATAATATTTTATATTTATTAATTTCTTAATTGTTAGGCTTCTTGATCTGGGACCTGAGTCTGAATTTTGTACCATGAACATTCAAATGTGAGCTGGTATGACAATAAAATTCCTTGAATCCTTGAATAATTCTGCTAACGGTTTCCAAAGCTAGTGATGATGCTAATCTGCTAAATGGAAAATTTGTTCAGCTGTTAGCAGATCAGCAGAACTGTGGCCACCAATGACTATAGCTATACTTGTGATGCCAGCACGTGTGCTCTTTTTTTGTCTGCTCTAAACGTTCCAGATGCCTCTAAATCAAATAGTTTATACACCCATCACTGGTCTGTATGTGTATCAGATTACATCCAAATTACATCATTCTTTCTGGGTGCTTTCTTTTTGTCAGTGGGTGAATTTTTTTGTCTCCTTCGTGAAGCGAAAAGGGGGAATTGGAAATGCCCTTCGTCAAGTCCATATATGTTGTGAGCATTATAATTTGAAAAATCATCCACTTTCTGATTTTTGATTGTGATTTTGGTGTGTAGTTGCATCTTGGTGTAAAAAGGTCACCATCAAAAATATGGCTGCCACTTCAAAATCCAAGATGGCCACCACCATTTTTATATGCAACTCGACCACTCCAATAATTTGAGGAAACTTTTGTTTCAAGTTTTTATGTTGCTAAAACGTATCGTTTCCTCAAAGGACTGGGGTGGGCATCTCCTGGCTCCACCAGTGCACCTGGTGGTGGATAAAGTTGCTCCCTCGACTTGCCAGAATCCATCACTGTGCTGCCTTGGACAAGAAAAAAATAAATAACTACTGTATCTCTGTTCTTCTACACAGTGTTACTTCTACCTACTTGAATGTCTTGCACCAAAAACATTAAGGGTTACTGTATTTTCCACTGTGCACGTCGTTCTGTCCTATAAGTCGCATCAGTCCAAATATGTCTAATAAAGTGGAAAAATCCATAAATAAGTCGCATCTATTATGCGTCACCGTTGACAACCTGGAAATGTGGGCTGGTGTTGTGCCAAAAATTGATTGACTGCCAAATGGTGGCCGCGGGAGCGTGCACAGGAGGACTTTAACAAGAATTTAACAAGATTAACACTTAAAAAGTTATTGTTTGCTCGAAATATATATATATATATATATATATATATATATATAGTAAAAGTGTGTCTCCGTCTCTTTTGCTTAATAAATGCACTTCGATGGTCAAATCAGCTGCATTTCTTCGAGGCAGTGCAGCGAAATGAAGCTGATTTGACGGTTGCTCCAAGCGAGCTGGACAAAGATGGCAGACTATGGTAAGCCGATTGTGTCATTAATAGCCACTTTTACCTATTACATGACACAACGGCATGCCATACTAATCGAGTGCCATCTAGCGGCTGAAAATGTTAGTGTTAATATTTTCAGTCAGAATGAATGAAAACGGTCGCAGACAAAAATTGTTTTATCAATATGAGAAAAAACAAAAATACATCGCTTCGGCGAATAAGTCGCAGGGCATGTAAATTATGCAAAAACACCACGACTTGTAGGGCGAAAAATGCGGTACTTGCATTCCCTGCTTGTTGTTTTTAACGTGTCATCCAATAATTAGTGATTTGCCAAACAGCTTTTAATCCTTAAATACAAACGTGTTTCTTCAGTTTGAGCTCACCCAAGACATATTTAAAGTTTCCTGAACAGCATCAAGACACATAATCGTACACGTTAAGACACTTTCTCTTTCAGCTGTAAGCGGTTTGTCTGCAGAGGTGCTACTCATCTGTGACTCCCAGAGCTACATCCTGCCTACGGTCTCACAGAAAGGCCACATTTTTATACAACAGCTGTCGTGTGCCTGATAAGGAGCTGGCACGTTGATCTGCATCTTTGTGTGATTAGAAAGTGAAAGGGCTTTCAGATATTTGAGGATATGCCCTGGCATATAAAAATAAAAACTCTTTATATTGCCATATTATAAAAATAATAATAATTATAAAATAATAAATTTAGACTCAGAAAACATTTTAAATACGTGCTCTGAATTATTTGTGTGTTCAAAGAAATGATAAACAAAGAAACACAGATAAGTACTGATCAGTCAGTCTGAGTGGTACCTCCAATATTTAGTGCTGAACAGTTTAGGAGCCAAATTTATCTGCTCATAAATCTATGGAAGACTTTTCGTAAACAAAACCACCACATGATTGAAAAATCTGATGCACCACACTCACCTTTCTGACACCTGTTTTTGTTAAATTGTGTTTTTGTGCATGTTTTAGTAATCATAAATGTGGATGGGGAGTTTTTTGTGAGCGGAGGAGGACTGAGCTCCAGGTTTCGTGTTGCCAGCCTGAACTTCCACTGGGGACGCTGTAACGCAACATCAGCTGGGTCTGAACACAGCCTGAATGGGATGAAATACCCACTAGAGGTAAAACAACTGCAGCATACCACATGTTCTCTTGTATTATGAGGAAAAACAAGTCCACTTCTACTCAGTTTTAGGGTTTAAAAGGGCATAATAGCAATGATCTGGTTTTTACCAGGGTCTGAAATAATTTCCATCTAACCTTATCTGGTTAGACTAATCTCTAAGTTTTTCAATATTCTACATCCATCCATCCATCCATCCATCCATTTTCTTCCACTTATCCGGGGTCGGGTTGCGGGGGTAGCAGCCTAAGTAAGGAGGCCCAGACTTCTCTCTCCCCAGCCACTTGGGCCAGCTCTTCCAGGAGAATCCCGAGACGTTCCCAGGCCAGCTGAGAAACATAGTCCCTCCAGCGTGTCCTGGGTCTTCCTCTGGGCCTTCTTCCGGTGGGACATGCCCAGAACACCTCACCAGGGAGGCGTCCAGAAGGCATCCTAACCAGATGCCCAAGCCACCTCAACTGACTCCTCTCAACGTGGAGAAGCAGCGGCTCTACTCTGAGTCTCTCCCGGATGATCGAGCTTCTCACCCTATCTCTAAGGGAGAGCCCAGACACTCTGCGGAGAAAACTCATTTCGGCCGCTTGTATCCGAGATCTCATTCTTTCGGTCACAACCCAAAGCTCGTGACCATAGATGAGGGTAGGAACGTAGATCGATCGGTAAATTGAGAGCTTGGCCTTTTGACTCAGCTCTCTCTTCACCACGACAGACCTGTACAGCGCCTGCTTCACTGCTGATGCTGCACCTGTCCGCCTATCGATCTCACGCTCCATTTTTCCCTCATTCGTGAACAAGACCCCAATGTAGAATATTCTACATTGATTAAAAAATATTCATAAGCAGAAAACCTTTAAAACAGTTGCCAATCATCCCACAAATGAACTTTTCAGGAAATTCACCCAAAGGTCAGACCATGCAATTCCCAGGAAAGTTGTAAATAAATGCAAAATTTCACTCTCCGACTTTACAGGCCCCAGTGACCAAGTTAGAAAAAGACTGAACACGTGTCTTTTCTACAAGAACAGCAACGTGACTCAAGTTTCATCTTGTGAAATGTCTTTTAGTCCGAGGAGACCACAGGAGAGGTTTTCAGCATTGATACAAAGTGTCATGTTTGTTGAAAACCAAACTGCACAAACACCTCATAGCAGATGTCATGCATGGTGGTGGAGTGGTGATAATTTGGGTTGGGTTTGCAGCCGCAGGACCTGGGATTCATTGAGTGAACCCTGTACGCCTCTGTAGACTGAAGGAGTGCTTCCAAAACTTCCCAGCTTTACCAAAAAAAACCTTTTCTGAAGCTTTTGACCCCAAATATGATTAGTTTTAGTATTCAAGCTGTGCTTATAACCATGTTACATAAAGGAATAATTAAAATATAAACAACTTACGCCAGTTGAAGGCAAACGTGTCATAGTATAGTCTCTGCCTGCCGTCTGTCAACTTTCTCTTGTTCTGCCTATAACTTCTGATCTGCTCAAGATAATTTAATAAAGCATTATACACATATGCATCATAACTAGACACTGTGTCTTGTGTACTTCTCATCACCCCAGCTCTAATGTCAAGGTCACGAATAAAGGTTAAATGTTATACAAGGCTTTTTCAAGTCCAGGTCATGCTATATAAAGACTGATGTATTACTGTATAATAGCTCATCAACGGAGGTATAATGTGCCTTATGTAGTACTCTTGTTTCATTTGTGGTTATTGTATTACAGTATTCTTTATAATACTTATGGTGGAAAACATTCCATCTGCTTTTATTTATTTAATTTTTTTTTACATTTAAATTGATTTCTAGAAAACTTTTTGGGAACCTCACTTGAGGTTTCATGGCCCAGTGTGGGCTCCTGACCACAACTTTTGGAACAGCTTAACCAAATGGTTCTAGAGTGAAATGTAAAACCACCTATGTCAGCTGAAGCTTGGACCAAACTGGATCATAAACCAGAACAACGATCCGAACCAGAGCATCGGATCTACAACAGACTGGCTGAACCAGAGAAGAATCAAGGTGTGGCAATGGTTTATTCACAGTCCAGACCTCAACCTGATTCAAACGCTGCGATGAAACCTTAAGAGCTGGGCCGAAACAAAATGTCCAATTCCCAATAAGCTGACGTAAAGTTATAAAGTAGAGTGGGACAAAATTGATCTACACTGATGTGAGAAACTGATAAATTCCTATAGGAAAAGAATACTGAGTTATCTCCTCTTAACTTGGTTCTTCAAGCTATTGATTAAAACCTGGTAAAGACTTGACCATTTGATTATGTGTTTATATAAAACCCAACTGATCAAAGGGGCTGTCTTTGTGACTGTAAGCCTGTAGACTCTGAATAAAGACAACTTGTTTGATTCTGGCTTGACTTTAGATGCAGATCTACTGCTACAATCCTGATGATTTCCAAAGTCTCGATGATGCTATTAAGGGAGGAGGGAGGGTCGTTGCCTTGGCTGTTCTCTTTGAGGTAAGATGACAACGATTAGCTTTTCTTTTCTATTTTTCTCCTTTCAGCTTCCCCCTTCTTTAGGGGTCGCCACAGCGAACTGCAGTGATTAGCTTGTTTGCCTTAAATTAATTCAATCTAATATGTATTTTCTTGCAGGTTGGCTTGGAAGAAAATGAGAATTTCATTCCTGTTCAGGAAGCCATAGAGACAGTCAGCAGGTTCGGTAGGTCACCGCTAAAAATCTCTGCTTGAACATGGTCACAAAAGTTGGACTAATACGTCTTTAAGTGAACTTGGTTTTATGTCTGTGCAAGTTTTTGGCCTTAAGCTTCTAAAAAGCTTTGCCTCCATGTTGTTTTATCAGGTAAGAGTGGGTCAGTGGAAGCGTTCACCTTGCGCTCCCTGCTGCCAAACATCACAGATAAGTACTACATCTACAACGGCTCGCTGACATCTCCTCCCTGCTCTGAACTGGTGGAGTGGATCGTCTTTAAACACACCGCTGCCATATCAGAATCTCAGGTCAGTGGATTCAATGACTCACGTGCAAACGTTCACAAATGAGGACATTTTAAAAATAAAACATGAGTCAGACAAGTTTGTATCAACTCTTAGCATCCCTCTCCACAGATTACTGTCTGAAAGAGATTTCAGCAGAAACAATTGGATCAGATCGAACTATAACTAGATGTTAATATTATCACCTCATAAACGCTTAAATCTTTGTTTGCTGTCAGACTCGTACCATTTAAAAAGATGTAAAACCAGTACATTTGTAGATGTTTAAATTGTTTTAGTTACACAAAGCAGAATTTGACATACAGTCGTCCCTCACGATATCACGGTTCACTGCTTGTGGCTTCACTGTGTTGCAGGTTTTTTTAAACCCAGTTTTTTATACTGTGTGTACTGTACATTCATATCATCGTCTTCTTCATCGCCAAAGTGTTTAAGAGAGTTGGAAAGGTTAATAAGAGTGGGAAAGGTTTGTAGCAGTGTGGGAAGTGTATATAAAGCGTTACAATAAGTAAATAATTAATTAAATACAACACTGCTTCTTGATGGATTTTCACCTACTGCGGAGGTCTCTGGAACATAACCCCTGCGATCAGTGAGGGCTCACTGTGTGTTGGAAGTAGGGTTGTAAAATTCTAGAAATATTCAAAGTTGGAAGCTTTCTGTGGGGAATTTATGGAAATAAACGAAGATAGTGTTGAACAGTGTCTGCTGCACAAATCTTTTTATCTCACCTTGAAGTCTAATCAGGTCTCTCTTGTAAATGAGTCCTCGAGGCTCAATGAGATTTACCTGTCTAAATAAAGGTTGAATGAAGTGGCAACTCAAGAAGTTGGACTACAAATGAATGCTAATAAGATGGAAATAATGATGCACAACTAGGCCTGTCGTAATAACCAATAAATCAATTCATCGCATGCTAAATGAAAATTGTCAACCTCGTTTTCATTTATCAGCTTTATCGTTTCTTCGTGTTTCTCTTTCTTTTGAAGACACTGGATGACAAAAAGGCTCAACTCAGGTGCTCTTCACTGACCCCTCAGTTTCTCTTTTCTCTTTAAAATCTGTTTTAACCGTCCAAAATCGTGTTTTTGGATATGTAAAAGTAGCTCTACTGAGAAGCTAAGCTACAAGCTAAGCTAACAGGCCGACTTCGGGGGGGGGGAAAAAATCTTCGTTTTGTCGAAGCTCCAAAATTCACAGTTGAAACCTGCACCTTTGTGTAAAACGTTGTTTTTCTCTGCAAAAAGAAGCTGAGAACTTGTTTACTGATTTTTTTAATTAAAAGCTTTGTGTGTCAAATGCTATGCTAAAGAGCTCAAACCACACGAAGCGTTTGGCATTTTGAGAAACAGAGAGGCAGCCCATGTCACGTCAAGGGGCCTCCCTCCCATTTTTCTTAACGAGACACGCTGTTCGCTCCCTCACTATCCATCCTTCAGTTTAAACAGTCTTATACTGCCATCCAGTGGTCAAAAAAGGTACTACATGCAAAACAAATTAACAAACTTTTTTTTCTTAAATTCGACAATAATTACTAATTATGGTCAAATTTCAAACATTATCGTTAATCGCAATAATTTTTGAGACAATCGCCCAGGAAAATTTGTTATCGTGACAGGCCTTTGCACGATACTTCTTGGAAACTGAGTGCCCTCACAGGACACCTGAGCAAACAGGTGAATGATTTCAGCAATCTCGGAGCATCTCCACCACTGAGAAGGAACTACCGGTAAGCACCAGAATAGCTCAGGGTTGGTGAGCAATAGTAAAACTTTATTAAATCTGCCATTCATTGCTCTCAAGGAAACTAAAGATAATGTTCTTCAAAGCAACAGTTGGAAGTGTTCTCTTATACGGGTCATGGCCACTTACTGAAGCACAACACAAGAGATTAAATGGGTGTTTTACTCATCCACTGAGACATGTCTTCAATGTCACATGGCAACATAAGTTGACAAACGAGGACCTTTACAGAGACCTCCCACCAGTATCACAAGTGATTAAAATTAGACTTCATTTTGCTGGTCTCTGTTTGCCAAGAGGGATTGTGTCAGTTGGGTTTTATTCTGGGAGTCAGCACACAGATGACCAGCAACATCCTACATCCACAGGCTGATACAGGACTCTGTCCCTGAAATGAAATTAGCCATGATGGATCGGAGCACGGGATGAGACGTCTGTGGAGATTGATGCAATTTGACTAAACTAAACGGAAATAAATCTGAAGTTTCACATACTCATGGTAGGCCTTTAACAGGCATTATAAATATAGCTGGGAAAATATATTCTACCATAATCATGGCTAAATAATCAGCTTTTATTGCTGTTCTGTGCTATGAGAAGTACCACATCTGAAAAAAATGATCAATTCAGCAGTCTGTACATGTTTGAACAGATGAAAAACAAAACATAAAACAGAATTGTAATTTGTTTTGTTGTGAAAATCAATTTACTGAAATTTGTTTTGTTCTTATTTATATAAAATTACAAAAAAAGAAGCCAAAAATTATTTGTTTTTTTTATTAACCTTCATTTTACCAGGCAAATCCCAATGGGATCGCAAATCTCTTTTGCAAGGCAGGCCTGGGTCTGAAGGCAGACTAACATGCATGTTTTTGATCTGTGGGAGGAAACCGGAGTACCCGGAGAAAACCCACGCAAGCACGTAGAGAGCATGCTAACTCCACACAGAAAGACCCAAGGTCCAACCAGGAATTGAACCCAGGATCTTCTTGCTGTGAGGCAACAGTTCTAAACACTGAGCCGTCGTGCTGCCATAAAATTATTAAATAATGTGTAAATTATTATTTTCAAAGTTAATGAAATTTGACATTTTCTGTACATAAGTTTAGAGAAAAATTTTCAAATATTGTTTTACAATTTGCATCTGACTGATTATTTCTTTATTTTTGTGAATTCTATGACAAAAAAAAGAAAAACATCTGATAACATGAAATGTTTTTGCTTAATGTTGTACACGACTTTAGAAAAGTTTTACAACAATCACAATATGGACACCCATAAAATGCAGATAATTGATTGACACATTGATGTCATTAGTGATGTTATTATGTGCAGATCAGAGCATTAAGTAAATTACGGTAGACCCTCGTTTATCACAGGGTTTAGGGGACCACGCCCCCTGTAATAAGTGAAAAATGGTGAAGTAGGGATACAGTAGTCCAAGTTCAAGTTCTCTCCCAATCTCTCTCGTTCTGTGTACATAAACACTTTAAATTTAAATACTGTAGTAATGTAGGGACAGCTTTCGCTGTAACATACTACTACTTAATTATTCTTAAAGCTAGCTCAAGCACAAAGAAGATTAATTGTTCAATTACAACGGATTCTTTCTTTTTCGAGTTAAATTTCTTCCATGTGACCAAGATAACTTGTGGAGTGGAGTGGTAATTAGTGACATGAGACGCCATTTTATCTTTGACCCATCAGAATAAATGCGGTCATTTATTTAACAGAATCAAAATTTAACATCAAACATGTACACATTGATTTGCTGATCTGTTTCTGATTAATAAACTTGGCACGCTTTACTAACAAGACTACAGAACATTACTGATTGAGACTGATTCATCTCTGAAGGCATCTAGCTTGATTTACTGGTGAAAAGAAGTTTAAAGAGAAGGAATAGAGTTTTAAAACAAGGCACTTCGTTCTCATAACTTGTCTCTGACTTTCGACCGACATCAGGTCCACTCCTCACACAGACAGAAGAGTGAATGCACACTTACTTCGTAAATAGACATTTAACTTGTATGATTGATGAAGTCTAATGAGGTTTAAAAATCATTAATTCTGTTTCACAGTTGATTTAAATGAGTGGTTTACTTCAACATTTAGAAATGGTATGAACTAAACACACTTTTGATTATCAAGATATTGTAAAATAGTAATGATAATATAAAAAAGAAGAGTGTTCTTTCAATTGATTAATTCAGAATACAATTAAATAGTCTCTTGATGAGATCATTTGTATTTCTGGATTCAAATCAATGAAATAACAGTTCCTGTCCCCTGAAGGTCTTCAGAGACAGATTGATGTAGGAGGTCTAGTTCACTACAATACTGTAATATTTTAAATAAACAATCCATGCATGGATTGTTTATTTAAAATATTTACATTTTAATTGTAGAGAAGAGAAGCACAAGCAGGACAGCAAATCCCTTCGCACAGCTCTGCAGCATGGAGCAGAAATGTACTTCTTGATAAACTGCACTGAAACAACTGAACATGGAAGTTCTCAAATAATTAAAAAATAACTTTTAATACTTTTACTGTATATTTTGTGATATTTACAATATGACATACTTAGAATTTTAAGTTGGAAGACAAAAGTCGGTCGGTGCATCTGGACAGCAAAGGGTTAACCCTTCACGAAGCCGATGCAGCAGGAGAAATGTGTGCGTGGCAAAGAAGGAGATCGTGACAGGCTGCAGAGGGAGCTTCTCCCTGCACCTGTGGGCTGCACACAGGTGCAAAAACATTTACCGTATTTTCCTCCGTACATGTCGCACCACCGTATAAGTCGCATCAGTCCATATTTGTCTAATAAAGTGGAAAAATCCATAAATATGTCGCTTCGTCGTATACGTCGCATCTATTATGCATCACCGCTGACGCGTTACGTTTGTTACGCATCACCGCTGACAGCACGGAAATGTGGGCCAAACCTGGAAATGTGGACCGGTGTTGTGCCAAAAACCAATGGGCCACCAAATGGCGGCCGCAGGAGCATGCGCGGGAGGACTTTAACAAGAATTTAACAAGATTAACACTTAAAAACAATTATTTGTTTGCTTGAAATTATATTAAAGTGTGTATCAATCTAACGTTTGCTTAATAAATGTAATTTAATGGTCAAACCCACTGCATTCCGCCGGGGCAGTGCAGTTGGATTGACGGTCGGTCCAAACAGCAAGCAGAACCAAGGTGGGGAGGCTACGGCAGGCTGATTGAGTCATTAAAAGCTGGTCAAGATTCTTAGTCATCCAGGACATGGTCAATTCAAAAAAGTTAAAGAAGAAAACAATTCAGTATAAACTGTAATAAATAAAGTCCATTTGTTTTTGTCTTGAACTTTTTTGAATTTGTCATTATAGGCACGTTTTCCTATTACATGATACAACTGCCAACAGCATGCCATACAATATTACTACTCTGGTGCCATCAAGTGGCTGAAATTGGTACTGGCTCAAAAAATTTCAGTCAGAATGAATGAAAACGGTCATATCTCGGCCAAAAGATGGTTTATAAATATGGGGAAAAAAATCCACAAATTTGTCGCTTATAAGTCACAGGGCATGTAAATTATGCAACAATCTGTGACTTATACAAAGAAAAATACGGTAAATAATTTATTTTAAATAAAAAACCCATGCCGTTCGTGTGACTCTTCCATCAATCAGTCAACTGTGTCATGTCCACTCTTACTTTGAAAAACCGTGAAAGAGCGAGTCCACGAAAGGCATACTGCGAAGTATCGAGGGACTACTGTACTTTCATAAACTTTGGGTTAAACTCATTTTCTGCCCGTGACAAAACTAAATGCTAGTATTTTGTTTAAATATCATACCATTGACCTGCACTTTGATTGGCATCTTTATGTGTTTATAGGCTTTCAGATATTTGAGGAAATGCCCTGGCATACAAAAAAAAAAGACTTTTCACTACGTTAACCTTTTCTTTTAAACTTGGGAAGTTATTCTAAACACGTTTTGAATAATTTTGTTTAAAGAAAAAGTTTAGGACAGAAACATGTAATGATAAATCATTCGGAGTAGTAGCTACAGTATTTAGTGTTGAATGAAGAGAAAGATTTAGGAGCCACATTTATCTGCTCATAAATCTATGAGAGACAGTTTTGAGGATGCAGGACCACCAAATATTCAGATGTTTGAATAATCTGATGCCCCACTTTTACCATTGTCTCATCAGTTAGAGCTATTGAATGGTTGAGCGTCCCATGGAACTGTAGGCCAGGTCTTCAGTCTTGGTCATGGGAGTTTGATTGTCTGGTCCACACGGGGTTTGTGGACTTGGAGAAGGTTTGTTTGTTCTCTGTAACCAAAGCCAGGTCTATTTCCATAATCTCACACAAAGTACAGCTTGTTCCAGGTGCAGGTTGAACTCTGCTACTTCTACCCCTTGTCTCCAACCTTGTGTTTGGTGTTCACAGTCAGGATTTCAAGGTGTAGTCATAGGGAGGAGGGTTTCTGGTTTAGGAACTTGAGGATTTCACATCTACTTTTTACATATTTAAGTCATGATCTTCATAGTACACTAAAGAAGTTCACAGTTGAGTCGAAGGTGGTGCTATCCCAGTTTGGGGGGAGTCTGCTTCAAACGAAGCACTTCAAGTATCTGGGAATTGTGTTCACATGTGATGACAGAACGGAGCTAGAGAAGGACCAATGGATCTGGGGTAATGAGCGATTTGCTCAGGTCTGTTGTCTTAAAGAAGGTGTTGAGTCAAAAAGACAAAGCTCTTGAATCACTGGTCTATAAATGGTTGGATAGATGAAAGGATGGGAATCTCAGCCTTACTGCTAGCTGTGTTTGTGGTTGCATTTGTGACTGGTTTCAGACAAATTTTAAAAAGGGAAAGACAAAGATTGCACTGAAGTTGTACAAAGTGACTGGTTCAGTCAAAAATGCAAGCTCGGGGTTTATGACAGAGTAACACTGGATCCTGCCTAAAGATGTTTAAGAGCCTGCGGGGGGCTGTGTAGTGATCATTAATTTTAAAGCAGAAGAAAAGGGAGCAAATGAGGCCCCATGGTTTGTGCTTAGAGCACAGATTTTAGTGTGTATTTGCTTGTGTCTGCCTGAATGAAGCAGTATGGCAAAGTGTGACACAAGCATGTTCACGCTAACCAAAAATAGAGCACCGCTGTCTCCCTCTGCCTCATCCTGGCAACAGCACAAGCCTCTTAAAAACACACGCAGCTACAAGCATCAGCTTTTTGGTTTACTTTGGCAAACAAGAGAAATGGAAGGCACTGAAGACGTGTTTCTTTTTCTCTTGACGTTCTCTCTTGTTTCGTCTGTCTGTGTCTCACCAGCTGGAAGTGTTTTGCGAGGTGATGACCATGGAGCAGGCCGGATATGTTATGCTGACAGATTATCTGCAGAACAACTTCCGGGAGCAGCAGCAGCAGTTTATGGGTCAGGTGTTCGCCTCCTACACTGGAGTTGAGGACGTGCTCACACCAAGTACGTTAACACCTAAACTTCCTGTTTTCATCTGCTTCACCTCATCCAAACTGTAGCATCCTATTGACATGCTGATTTTATTTCAAAGGCTAAATTTTAAATATGCACCTTTTAAAATAAAAAAGTTTTAACCAAAGAGCTATACAAGTAAAAAGAAGAAATGAAAACCAAACAAAACACCAATTTTATTAAGGATAGAAACAAACATGCAAGTAAACGAAAAAGTAATGAACCTAGAATGGAACCTTGTGGAACCTCACATGTGAGAGGAGCTGTTGATGACAACAAAACACCCAGTCTGAGTGGAAAGCTTCTGTTTGGAGACCAGTGGAAACATTTCTGAGGACACGCAGTCGTTTTTTTAGTAAAAGCTGAGGAGAAAAAACAAAAATGTTGTCAACGTGGATGCAGTGATGAGTGAAATGACGTTTGCAGGGGAATAGAAAAAGCGTGTGGTGGAAATATTTTAAAACAGAGAATTAATCTGGATTTTAATATAAGAATATAAAAAAATATGCAATAAATTGATCTTAATTTGGATACAAAATGTTGTACAAAGACAATAAAAGACAATAGACAAAAAAGCACATAATTAATTTATTATAAATAAATTTGCCTCTTTGAGGTCAGGTTTTGGTAAATAATCTTTTTCTTAACATTTAAACATAAATATTGCACTTAAAAATGTACTTGGTAAATAGAAACAACAGCTATATGTGTAATAAACTAAGCATTTATTTTATTTCAAAGTAACAAATGGATACGTTTTTTTTCACTATAGAATAAGCCTGTTTACCAGTGTTTGTTCTCAACATTATTGGGTTTGTTGAATTTGTTTAAAAATTGCTTGTTGAATGAACCAGTATACTGTATATTGTATAAATAAAGGTTGAATGAATCTATTGCTTGATTTATTGTCCCCTATTGCAGAGCAAAAAAGTGGGATTTGGCTCAGTCTGTCTCTACATGTTGTAAGCACGATAACTTGGAAAATAAATGAGGTACTGACTTCTATTTTAGTCTGTGCCTGCAACTAGGTGTAAAAAAATTCCTTTCAAAAACTGGGCTGCCATGTCAAAATCCAATATGGCTGTTGCCATGTATATATGTAAACATTGTGAGCTAGATAACTTGAAAAATAATCGATGGGCCAACTTCCTTTTTAGTGTGTGGCTGCATCTAAGCATGAGAAAGTTCACTTTTAAAAATAGAGTTTCCATGTCAAAATTCAAGATGGCTACCATCCACCATATA